AAGAACGTAGATTAAAACTGAAAAAATAAATCAGAATTAGTCTACAAACTGGCGCTGCGACAAAAAAATAAATTCTGGTTCAAAAATTGCTGATTTTTCAAAGAAAATTCTCATCAAAATTATTTTTTGAAATAACTCAATTTTTGACACACACAAAAATTGACAAAAATACAAATTTTTTCTCAAAGGAAATTATCATCAAAATTATCCTTTGAAAATAAATCAAACATTTTAACCAATTTTTGAATTTATTTTATTTTCGGACTTAGTCAATTTTTCCAAACAAAAAACACAAATTTTGGACCAAAAAATTAGACAAGATCTGTTAAATAAACCGTCGTTAAAATCCAGAAAATTTTTGAAGTTAGACTTGCCCAAACGTACACAAGAGAAATTTAATACAAGAAGTATCAAATTATTTAAAAAGAAGAAAAAATAACATCTTTTGAAAAAAACAACTGACAATTTCTACATCTAACCCAAAGTACAAGTCAAATTCACCAATTTTGGCATTAATCATTAAAAGTCAAAGAGAAAACGATATACCAATCGTAGAACAGAAGTCAAAGACCAACATAAACAAAAATACACATTTTTGGAACCGAACATCACAAGCTGACCACACAGCGGGACATCTCACAAACAGCAGGAAGTCCACACAAGTAAACCAACAAAGCAATTCCAACAAACGCAACAAAGAAGAAAGAGAAACGAAGCAAAAAGTCAACAAAAACCAAAAGAGTCAACAAAAAATCAACAAGGACCAACAATAGAACAGAAAATAAGCTACAACCGAACAAAAAATTAACAGCCAACAACCGAGCCATAAAATTACACTATCCAAAATCATCACTCACCGAATCAACCGACCATCAATAATTTTAAGCTACAGAAAAAATATCTAAATAAGAAACAAGTAAGTGAGTCCTTGATCATATTCATAGTATAGGCACACAAATCAAAACACAGAAAGCCAAAATTACAAAGACTGTGTATGAATTTTCTTCCCAAATTACATGACGTTATTACAATTTGCGTATGTCGGGTCAACAAGTAAATAGTGAAAAAGTAAAATCACGCATTGAAAAATTGATTCAAGAGAGAACACTCTTAATCGGAAGACTAAGTTCACTCAGAAAAGACAAAAATCCATATATTGTTACTCGTGAACACAAAGCTCACGAAAAACACGTTACTGATATCGAAAAAAGATTAAACCAAATCGATTTTGAATTAAGGAAAGAACGCCATTTTCTGAGCAGACAATCGATTATCGATTCAGAGATAACGAATAATCAAGAGACTGAAGAAAGGAATAAAAAGTTATCCAATCTTGAGGAATTTATCAATAAATCCATTGAGTTTGAAGACAATTTAAACAAAATGTTCACAACTCCTCCTAAAAAAGTTACCGAAAACCCAATCACAACCACCTCTGAAAATATACCACCATCAAACCCAATCCCTACAACTGCAGACATGCGAGGAGCTCGCGGTCTCACCACAAGTCACCCAGTCGCTACAACAAGTACAACTTCCACACAAGAAGGTCAAGACGAATGTGGCATGTACGGAATACATTCAACTCCAACTACAAGCTCTAACTTAGCACCTCTCTTCGGCCAATTTATTAATTCAAGGCCCAGATTATCAACAATCGTTGGTGATCCACCCCGTTACGAGTTTCCACCAAATTACGAAAACGCGACAGAAAGAGAAATCCGCCTACTCAAAGAAAAACAAGATAGGGAAAGGTTAAATAAAGACATGGGTATTTTGCAAGGGATTTACCCCACAATTGGCCAAAGGTCGACAGGAACAATCAGAAAAAATTACATGGCAACTAACACACAAGGCCACTTCCCCAATATACCAGAAGAAGAATTACTACCCCATCAAAAAACCTTTACGGCACAAAATACGCAATATCCAAATTCTGACGAATTCTACAATCACGTTCACAACTCAGAACTACAACGTCAGAAAAATCTCTCAATATACAAGGACAATACAATCGAAGGGTCGTTACATGAACCCAAACAAGTCAATTTCGAAAACGAAATAAATGACAACAATTTTAATAAATATGGTCCCATCCAAAGAAACTTCTCATCCACAAATCGGATATATAATCACCCAACCAACTCTGAATTACCACATCGTGTTTCACGATCATACAATAACACGCCAATTTTTGACGAAAATGTGATTCCTCGAGACATTAACTATAACAGAAACTTATACCCAAATGATTATCAACAACGTATTCCATTTAGAGATATCACACCAAGAGAACACAGTTATCGAGACGCCAACGGTGTCCGAGAAACATATTTAAAAAGATTAAAACACATTCCAAAATTCAACGGAGATTCATTTAATGAGCTCAAAGAATTCATCAACAAAGCTGATACCTTATATCGATACGCTAGTAACGATATCGAAGAAGATGAATTTTACGAACAAATGATTTTCCAATTGGGCGAAGAACCAAAAAATGTCATAATAAACCTTGAAAATCCAGATTGGAATACCGTAAAAAGAAAATTACTATCATATTATTCATATTTGGCAAACAAAGACTTACTTGCTAGTCAAATTGAGAATCTTCACCAAGAAAAGAACGAATCCATTCTCAAATATTCTGAAAGAGCACGAAAATTACTAAAAGAACACAATTCTACATACAGCAATCTGTCAGAAGACCAAAGAAGAGAACATAACAAAAGAGCACTACGAGCCTTTTCACGGGGTCTTTACGACCATAAACTGAAAGAAAAATTATCTATCCGTGGTTCCGATACTTTGGAAAACTCAATTGCATACGCTTTGGAAGCTGAAAGTGAAAGCCTTCGAGATATACCAAACTATGAACTATTTTGCAGATTCTGCCAAATAAATGGTCACCGTGAAAGAGACTGTAAACGAAAAAATAACGATGCCAATAATTTGGGAAACTTAACTTCGGCACTTCGCTCTCTAAATTTCCCAAACATAAATAATAACAGAAATCGCCCAAGAAACAATTTTTTAAGAGGTTACAATTTTGGGAACGGTAGATTCGGAAATAACAGATTCAATTCAAACCGTCAATTTAACCCAAGAAACAATGGCTACAGATTCTATCCCGGAACTAGAAACTGGAATAATAACGGCAACCAATATAACAGAAACCCTATTAACAACGATACCTCGAATTTTAACAACGGTTATAGCAACAACGGCAATTTTGGTAACGGTTACAATAACAATGGCAATTCAAATCTTGGCAATGGCAACTTCGGTAACCGAAATGGTAACCAAGGCGGAAACTCAAACAGACCACATTTCAACAATAATACCGCAAATAGAGGCAATTATCGTAACGATAGATTCAGTCCCAATGAACGCCAAAGGTCGAACAATTTTGCCAGAATTTTTGACACAAATGTCGAAAATATCAATTGTAACCAGGAAAACTTCACTCAGGGAAATGCCTAAGGATGAGTGTACCTTCCGGCCTATACCACTCATCCAATATGACAATTAATTTTCGTACTTCCCAAAATGAAAAAAGAATTCTAAACGCTCTAACAGATTTTCAATTTATCACCAAGAACGAAACTACTGAAAAAGAACAAGACACAATTGAACATGATTTAATAATGGAAAACGGAGCAGCTTATGCAATTCTGAAGACGAATTTTACAAAAAGGCCGATTAAAGTTCTGGTAGACACAGGAGCTTCCATCAGTTTAATAGCTGATGATACTATTTTAAACGAATTACAAATAAATAAATTTACATTAACATTATATGGCGTAACTGGAAAAGAAGTATCAATTCAAACAAAAGGCATAGTACAGGGTTCATTTTCGATTGGCAACCGAAACCTCGAATCGACTATGCATTTGGTAGACCGAAAATTTGCTGGATTATTTGACGGATATGTTGGATTTGATTTTTTAAATGCTTATAAGGGAATTATTGACATTGAAAGGAAAAAATTAATACTTAAAGTTGACAAAACTTACACTAAAGAAGAGAAAAATACACTTGAAATTGAACTTGAAAAATTATATAAAATGTGTGAAAATATTTATGAAGAGCCAAAAACCAAAACCAATAAGGGAAAAACTTATATGAACGAATTACCAAAACGGAAAATGAGAAAAATAACTGAAAACACGAAATCCTACGATAATGAAGATTTAAATTTTAAACAAGAAAATAATGAATATTTTGAAGCAGTCAATTTTTACACTAAAGAAATCAATAAAAGAAAAGAAACAAGGGTAAACCCCAATATTTTGAATAACGAAAATAATATATATGATATCAAAATCGATGGAAAAAGATCTGAATTTATTTATAACAAATTAGACAAATCAAAATGCATTGAAGAAGAATTAAAATCAATAAGAAAAATATGCGAAGAATTCCAATACCAATTTTATGTTGAGGGTGACAGCTTGGGCTGCACAGATATAATTACCCATAAAATAGAACTTATTCCAAACGCGCCAATTATTAATGTCAAACAATACAGAATTCCCCAAAAACAAAGAACAATTTTGGAGGAGATCGTAAAGGATTATGAAGCTCAAGGAATAATTGAAAAATGTCAATCAAACTATAATTCACCGGCAATTTTAATCAGCAAAAGAGATGACCAGGGGACGAAAAAAGATAGTCGCATAGTGATCGATTTCCGTAAATTAAACTCTATAACACAATTTGCACATTGGCCCCTACCGTTAATTGATGAAATATTAGAATCTTTTGGTGGTTGTAAATATTTTACAACTCTGGACATCAAGGGAGCATTCCACCAAATAAAAATGCACGAGGACAGCAAACATTTAACTAGCTTTACCGTGGGCCACTTCAAATATCAATGGGTACGTTTGCCCCTCGGGCTGTCCACTGCGGCCCAGACTTGGCAAAGATGCATCAGCACAATTTTGGCCGACCTTATTGGCCACGGTGTTTACGTATATCTTGATGATATAATCGTTTCAGCTAAAACTAAACCCCAGCACGACGAAATACTTTGGAAAGTCCTTGAATTACTAAGGAAACACAGCCTACAGTTAAAAATCTCCAAGTGTATTTTCTATGCAAAATCCTTCGACTACTTGGGCCACCAAATCACAGACGGGGGCATACGTGCGAATCCAAAGAAGGTGGAAGCAATTAAAAACTTCCCAAGACCAAATAACGTACGAGAAGTACAAAGCTTTTTGGGTCTATGTTCATACTTTCGAAGATACGTAAAAGACTTCTCTAAAATTGCTAAACCAATGACATTACTACTCAAAAAAGAACAACCATTCGTTTGGACACCTTCACAACAACAATCCTTTAACAACTTAAAAAAAGCATTAACCGATCAGGTCACCTTGGCATTTCCAAACTTTGATGAAATATTTTACGTAACTACCGACTGTTCGGAATATTGTATGGGTGCTATGCTGTCCCAAGGCGAATTAATGAAAGACAGACCAATCTATTTTTTCAGCAAAACATTAACAGACCAACAACAAAAATATTCCACTACAGAAAGAGAACTTCTCGCTGCAGTCGAGGGAATCAAAGCATTTCGTCCATATCTATACGGTCGTTTTTTCATCTTAATCACCGATCACCGCCCTCTATGTTATTTATTCAATATGAAAGATTGTGGATCAAGACTCTTCAGACAAAAACTTGAACTCCTATCATATAATTTCCGTGTTATCCATCGTCCCGGTACCCAGAATACCGTCGCGGACGCTTTAAGCCGCATACGCCCTCTATCAATTGAAGAATTATCAAATCTCAAAGAAGAAAAAGCAAATTATGCTATCACCCGAGAAAAAGCACTCGAAAACACTACAGGAAATATAAGATACACCATTGAAGAAAAAGATGGCACCTTACTGGGGAAAAAACAGTTTGATTTGGTATTTCACTTATTATCAAAAGAAGACAATTCATTACGGAACCAACTCTCCAACAAATTTAGCATTATAAATATAACTGACAAATTCCAAAATTTCAATACACACCACTATGCCAGAACTATATCTAACCAATTTGCAAACAGACAAAATGAACATGAAACCCAAAAGTGTATCAATCAAATACTTGATATATGTAAAACCAAAAACGCTACAAATATAGCCATAAACTTAAATTTTGAAAATACTAGACACTATTTCTTTTTTAGGGAACTTTTCAAAGATACGTTTACCGACACAGAAATATACACTACATTCTATTTAAATAAAATCGTTGAACTTAAAGAACAAGAAGATATCAACAAAATCTTGGATTTGTACCATTTAACCCTACTTGGAGGACATCTGGGGAGCGAAAAAATGTTCAAAACTATTTCGAAATTTTACAAATGGCATAATATGATGGATGATATTAAAAAATACGTAAAAAAATGCACAATTTGTGAAAAAACAAAGGTTAGAACTAATACAAGAATCCCGATGCAAATTTCGACCCTGGGCGAGGGGACATTTGACCACGTTTTCATTGATTACATGGGTCCAGTGGGCGCAAGCGTTCACAATAACAAATATATATTCGTTGCAGTTTGCGATTTAACTAAATATTTGGTCGCAGTCCCTACGCAAGATTGTACTAGCTTAACTTCAGCCAAATGTCTATTGGAACATGTCATTTGTCGCTTTAATTTTCCTTCCATGATCATAAGTGACAACGCCTCAAATTTCGTTTCGCAGGTTATTAAAGATTTAATGAACCTCTTTACAATTAAAAAGATATTTACCACACCTTACCACCCAGCTAGCAATCTAAGCGAACGCTATAACAAAACACTTAATGCCTATTTAAGAGCTTTCACAGCTCAAAAACGGGAGGCCTGGTGTGAAGCCTTACCCTACTTCACTTTTGTCTACAACAATTCAGTCCATAGCACCACAAATTTTACACCACACCGATTGGTATACGGTTTTGATGTACAAATACCGAGTCATTTAACCAAAAGAAAGATTTCATACAACTATGATAATCTAGCCGATATCATCAGAAATCACATAATGGACGCTCAGGAGTTAGCTAAAGAATACATACTTAAAAAGAAAATTGATAACAAAAAATATTATGACAAAAAATCAAGAGAATACGACGTTAAAGTTAACGACCTTATATTAATAAAAAGCCCTGTCAAAAGCCATAAATGGTCCGAGGTATACGAGGGCCCATATCTGGTTGTAAACGTTTTTGAAAGTTATTTGGAAGTCATGAAAAGGGGAAAGAAAATTAAAATCCATAAAAATTTAACGAAAAAAGCAGAAGCCGATTACAAAACTAATGCCTGATTAATTTCCTTGAAATTTCAGGATGAGCGACATACCCATTTCCGCAAAATATAACATATACCCACAAAAAACCAAAAAATCGAATTTGGTTCAAATTTGGTACCAAAATAGCATCAAAATTTGGACGACCATGGATAAAAAGAAATTTGACTATGACCGAAAATGTCTGTACGAAATGAGGAATTCAGACAATAATTTGGAAAACATAGTCCGCATTGCCCTACAAACATATTTTCTCAGATATAAATTCGAAAACATTTTGATATTTAAATACTTTAATGATTCAAAAATCGAAAGACGCTAAATTTGGCACCTGGAAAATATTGATTATTTCAAATCCTCAATTTTAAGTTTTATAAGATACAACGGCCACATTGGAGAATTTGGCCTAAAAAACTTAATGTTATGGATGAAAAACATTGATGAAGCTTTCTACTTCAGGGGAAATAACAAATACACTTTGAACGGGGAAAAACGGCACATTTTGGAACTACAAAAAATTGAAGTCCAAAACGCCATCTACAAAAATCATCTTTATAAGCAATTTTTAAGCGAAATCAGATCCCAAACAGACTTTATTTATCATATAATATATTTACTTAAGGACAGAATTTTTGACTTTATTAACCCATTCAATCACCTATCCATTTCAATTCAAAATCTTGAAATTTTCGGAGATGAACTCCCTCTATCAATAACCAATAAAGATGGAAAGTCAATTTTCGAAACATATATCAAAAACATGGGATTTAATTATAAATTACACTCAAATATAGCAGATTTCTTTCTCAAAATATATAAACTAAAAAATACAAAAAATCTAACCCAAATGGAAATTGACAAAAAATTTGAAGAAATCTGGCCTACCCAATGGACAAAAAATGAGTACCCCCAGGGACACATTAACATTAAAGAACAATACGATATTTACAAACACGCACTATGCAAAACCTTCGAAAACATTAAAAAAGCAAAAATATTTAACCTAGATAACTTCTTAAACTTAGAAATAAATAAACGCAAAAAAATTAATTATCTACAGCGTCGTAATTTAATGTCCAGATACGACATTTTTAAATACTTTAATGATTCAGAAATCGAAAGACACTTAAATAAACACATCAATAATTTCATACAAATCAAAATCTTCAATAAAAAAGTAAT